TTGTTAACTGAGCTAACACTTTCATTATTGAAACCTGCATAAGATAGATAAAGTAAACTTTAAAAAATATATAATCTTTATGTAATCACTCTTCAGTTACTCGATCTATACTGTTTACTGGAAACTATAACTTATAATATTTATATCCGCCCCATCGATCCCATGAAATAAAAAATGTATTGTTTATATAGATTTTAAAATTGTATTTATTCAACGTAATATAAAATATGGGTTTTTTATTATTTATTTATTTTCTTTATATTTTATTTACTTATTTCTAAATATAAATTATCATTCTTGTTTTGAATATTAAATTTCCCATCAACCATTTCCTCAAAAAATTTCTCCCGAAGGTGTTTATAACTTTCCGGGGTGTATAGAAAGTAATCCTCCAACTCCAGAACAAGGGATATTCCAATCTTCGTCCTTTTACACTCCACCTTGAAGATGGGGAACTTTACATTTTCAGTCATCCTTGCCTTTGACAAAATAGATTTCTTATTAAATTTATTGAATTCTTGAGTTACCGTCTCAAGCTTTATTCGTTTTGCATTATTTTCAACATAAATTGGTATAAACGCTGTTTCTGCGGTGTCATCTTTTTCATCGTTCTTCTCGTTGAAATAACAAACAAAACTTGTCGGATTAACAGGTGGGTTCCTATGATCCTCGACATATACGACACATTTGTTTCACCCTCCCTCCCCGTCATAAGTGTAAGCCAATCAAAACGATGGGTTATTGACTCACTCCATTGACAAAGGAAAGTAGAAATGAAAGACATAAATGACCACAGTTGTATGTATCAAGATGTTGAACTCTCTCGTAGTTGTATTGTATTTGTTTTCCCAAATACTTGACAACTTCTATAGGTTGTTGTAGATTTCCGAAACTATCAAAATAATGTATATCATTTTTATTTTTGTTATATGCGACCCAATTTGTACCACTTGATTGCGAATCATCTAGGTTTACTATACCACATTCTCGAATTCTTGGAGAGCGTGGAAGTAAATCCCTAATATATACTCCTCGAAAATTTGGTATATATTTTTGAGCAAAAGTTGTAATTTCTATATTTGAAAGTGGTCCAGTGGGTAGACATATAGTTTTTTTGCTTCTTGATACCATATCCCTTAGTATATGGTTTTAGGTAGAATCCATAACCTGTTCTATACGGTTTGAGATATTCCATATTTTTTCTTTACTTTCATAATGTTGGTCACCAAATATGCTGCTGCTTTTCCACCAAGAGTACTGTCAGGTGCTTTTACACGTGACCAGGCTTTGTCAATTAATATGGAGTCTGCAATGTGACGTTCAAGTAAATCCTTTTTATGGGAATATGCTATATCGTGTTCTTTGAACAAGCCTCATCCAGTTTATTTATTCCTTGATCACCTCGTTTCAAAAGTTTTTCTAACTGTGTACCCGGCCCACAAAATGTATATCCTGGTATATGGGCTTCAAACGGTAATGTATTAATTAAGTTGTTGACAAGACCACCACCACCTCGTTGACAATTGAAATCTCCAATGAATCGATTATAAAAACTCTTCCACATTATATTGATGTTTAATAATCAAAGATTTCTCACAGAATAAGGTACCTAAGCTTTATGAATGCGTTTAATAAGTCAAAAACAAAAAATCGTTAGAAATATCAATTATGAAAACGAGAAAAAACAACCCCCACGACATAGTTCTCTCTTACCTAATATAATAAGAGCTCTTATTGTTGGACCTTCAAAAACCAACATTATGCTCAGTTTGATAGAGAGTCACAACGGATTGAAATTCGAAAATATTTACGTGTTTTCTAAGAGTTTATATCAACCTAAATATGAGTACTTGGAAAAATTAATAAAACCTATTACAGGAATGGGATGTCATACTTTCTCTCATAACGATGGTGAATTAGACCCCAGTGAAGCAAAAAATAATTCTATTATGATATTTCATGATAAACCTTGTGAAAAACCAGACAACATAAGATCCTATTTTTGTTTGGGTCGTCATAAGAATATTGTTTCCTTTTATTTATGTCAAACATACACCCATATACCTAAACACTTGATTCGTGATAATGCAAACTTTATAAATATGCGACATATATATAGAGATCATACACGAATTAAGTGATTAAAGATATTGTATCAATTGATATTCAAGGTTTCTTGACAATAACAATAAATTTATTATTAAAGAAATTGCAATGGTAGTTGAAAAGGAACCAAACTTGAATTATAGTTTTATTATAGAACCACCATATGATTTTAATTTAATAAATAAAAAATTTCGAACCACTGCAAACTGGCTAACAAATAAATATTATAAAATTTGTTGGAACGATGGGGGAAAGTTTTGCGCAAACGCGACGATATAAGGCAATAACTATTAAAAACCAAATTATCTGCTAGGGTGAAATTAGTTAGTAATGGAAAACAATGATTATACGCAAAACCACAACCTCTTTTTTCTCTTTTATCTATGTGTTGGAATGCACTATGTGGAATTTGACCCGTTTTTGTGGCCAAAACTCATTTTTTGAAGGTATACAAATTTACGTTTTTTTCAATTTTACCATGTTAAGAAATGATCAAAATGCTATGTTACATACCTAAAATGTTAATTTAACAGTTTACTGTTAAAATACAAGCTGTTAAAGTCAGCTGTTGCAAGCGAAAACCACGTGCTGTTAGAAATGTTAAATTTGGGTGCAACTTCAAATTGGCATATCTCTTAGAAAAAATCATTAAATAATCTAATTCAAATTGAATATTGATTCTTCAGGTTAATACTATTCGATACTGTTTCGATCGCATTTTTTTTAACAATTTGTATGTTTAGCAAGTGGTGTCGCCTTGTCACTTTTGGAAAGAAAGTTTAACTTTGCAAAGGCTTTTAAAAAAAGTTTCGAAGAGTATCAGTGAGGGTTCATAACCATGTTGTAGATTTGTCAATTCTGAATTCAGAATATATAAGCTCATTTGCGTTGTTTTGCGAATCTTTTCGTAATTTGAATTTTTAGAAGTCATCCAGCTGCAATGTATCGACGCAAGGGAAGAACAACAATACATACTTTTTTTTGTATAATAATAATGAAATAGATGAAAATGATAAAGTTAAACATTAATACCTAGAATAATACTACCAAACAAAATTTCTTTTTGAATAACTTCTATATTTATTATCCGATCTGAACCAAATTTTCAGGACACATTTGAAATAGGACATTCATCCTGTGTTCTCTGGGGTCTCTAACTTGAAAATTGGCCTAAATATTAAATTTTTGTGGGCAGATGGGCGTTGCCACACCCACTTTTCAAAAATACATTCGTATAGTATTAAATATCATTATACAAGAAACCCGTAGTGGAAAATCTTGTTAATTTAAAAAACATTAATTTTGGCAACAAAAACGGGACAAAATCCACATAGTGAAATAGAAAGAAATTCTAAACACACATTTTATTACGGTACGAGCATGGATCTTCCGATGGTTCTCGATGTCGTGATTCCACACACATCTGGTGTTCCCACTCAATGATACATAGGCACACACGTAGGCAGATGCTTACATATATAGAAATTGACAGTGTGTTTTGAGAAAACACTTCCTCCTAATTAGGGTCAGGAATACAATTCAATAGTCTCAAATAACGGATAGGGGGTCAGAAAACTAATCATGACACAATCGTCACATTTAATTACTTCTTTAAACAAGTGCACTCATATTAAAAACTATAATTTATGTGATTATAATTTCTATGCCAGAATCAATACTGACTAAAAGGGTGGTGAGGCGAAATCCTAATCCCAGGAGACGACAGATAATGGGTTTCGGGGTAGGGGAAACCATGTTTTAATCACTAATGTGACACGTTAATAGCCCATAAATCTGTACCAGAATGAGCGTTTTATTACTACTCATATAAATTATTAACATCTAAATATACAATATAATTTGATACTTTTTCACAGTCGTTATCATCCCATAGATACTTGTTATTTGCAATTGAATGTCGTTTATTACATTGAACAAGACTACCTCTAATACCCTTCATTATAAAATTACACATATCAATATATGTAAATAGTTCTAATTATATTTTTGTCTTGCTTAACATAGCACCCCATGATAGTCCAGGAGTCTTATAATATTGACATGGATCTAAATTGTAGATTTGTATACCCGTTACTCGTAGAGTAAAAGGGTATACTAGATTCGTTTAAAAGTATGTAACAGGCAGAAGGAACCGTTTCCGACCGTATAAAGTATATAAATTCTTGATCAGGATCAATAGGGAAGTCGATTGAGCCATGTCCGTCAGTCCGTCTGTCCGTATGAACGCTGAGATCTCAATAACTATAAGAGATACAAAGTTGAGATTAACCATAAAGATTCTTGAGGTCCCTACGCAGCGCAAGTTTATTACAGTTTATAATTTATTATATCTCAAAGCACTTCAATAAATGTTAAATAGAAAGCAAAGCGAACATTTTTTTATTTTGCCGCCGCATGGAACATAAACCTTAGAAGACTATGTCAAGCTTGAGAAGCGGAGCGAAACGAGGCGGGCTCGGTTAATTATATTTCTAAGCTCAAACTATTTAGTCTGCACAAATAGTATGTCCTCTCCAACCATACGGGAGATAAAAAGGACGGAAACCTGTATTGCAAAAATATGACACTTATTTTGGTCCCTAGCTATCACGGCATAAGGGAAAAGAAGACGCGGATCTGTCAGCGCACAACATGGGGTCTCACAAAAGTTCCTCATTACTCCTATCAACTACAAAGACATTCATAATTTATAGATCTCAGCGTTTCAACAAATAGCGGAAATCGTTTTTCGAGCTTGGTCTTTATTCTGATTTTATAGGGTCGGAAACGCTTTCTTTCGGCTGTTGCATAGTTTTTTCTCTCTACAAGTGAAGGGTATGAAAATAATTTATTACTAAACATTTCGAAAATTTCAAAAGAAAAACATAAACATGTAGATATATATTTATTTATTTAGCTTTTTATAAAAATTACTACATTTCTAATGAAAAAACTATGCTTAAAAATTGTTCATAATGTATAGTTATGATCCCATCCATATCTGTGTCGTGCTGCCGGAACGCAGTTGTTAGGTCTGCAATAGAAATGTTATATTAAATATAAAATATGTATGTATTTGAAAATAACAACAATTCAATGAATATTAATAAATATATATTGTTCAGCTGGTCTTAATTATACTATATAATTATAATATAAAACTGTAGTTTTACTGCAACCTCTGCCACCCCTTTACTGGGTTATCTAATTTCAAAATTATAATTTTGCTAGCAGATATTAGCACCGTGTTAACTAGTGCAACTTATTGCTAATACAATGTAAAACTTGTTTATTAACTGTCGCTGGAGACACTGCAACCGATAGGACTTAAGCCAATTTTTCTTTAAATAATGAAAAATATTCTAAGTAAAAATTTTTTTTTAAAACCAGATTTGGAATTAAGCATCCTGCCACGCCCACTCTAACGGAAATCTACAATTGCTAAAATCGCAGGACCTATTAAAGCTAGAAAGTTGGGATGAAGTATGGATAACCTTGAGATGCTAGGACTTTGCGATCCCCTTGGCTCAGTAGCTCCCATTATCACCAAAATAAAGATTTTTATTCAGGTCATATGGAGGTCCTAGGCAAAGATTCTGTCCCATTGGGGAGCGAAGAATGGTCTATGCTGTCATGAGTAACTGCATTCAATGCTTGTGCATAGTCGAGCACACTAAGGCGACGCTACTAGAGGATCGTGTCCAGCTTATATTGTCATCGCTGGAGTTGACTTTTGTGGGCCCTTCTATTCAAACGCAATCTTTTATAGCAGCGCCGGAAAGATTTATAAGCCTGAGGGTAAATCCGGCAGCACCGGAGAGCACCGTCTCCAATACGACTCTTTTAACGGGGGAACATGTTGGGAGCAGTAACTTATCTGCTAAAATATTTGTTTTGCATGCAGATAAGCCGAGATCAGCGCTGCGAGTCGCTGATCTCTCGCCTGATATTACATTCGTTCTCGCCTGATATTACATTCGTTCGTGTATTTGTTAGTTCGTTATTTTCTCAATAACAAAGCAAGGAAAAGTTTGGATAAATTATAGCCCCATCAAAACATCAGTAAAACCATTTCGGTTTATCTGATCTAAGTGCGCTACCTTTCTAAATAAAAACGGTGTTAAGAAAGGTGGTGCTATTACCATCCACCAATTACCATTCGGCAACGCCTTTGAAATCATTCTTAAAAGCAACATTTTATTATTCCCGTTACTCGTAGAGTAAGAAGGTATATTGAATACGTTTAAAAGTATGAAACAGCTAGCAGGAACCATTTTCGACCCTATAATGTGTGTAAGTTAACAACCACTTCCCAGCATAGGCTGGGCAGGCCAATTTTATATTTTAAAAATTTCTATATTTTTTTACATTATTATCACTTATATTTTAATATATCACTTTTATATTTGTATACATAACACTTATACCTTTTATATATTACCCCTATATATTTTATATATCACACTTATATTTTTATTTTTTTTATTTTTTTGGGATCACCCTAATATTATTCCCCATTTACGGTGCGTGAGAGCTAAGCCAGCAAAGCGCACCGATAAGGGCTGAGCCTTTGTCTTATTCGTTTCCACCGATCGTGGCTCACTCCAGTGTCGCAATTGGCAAACATTGATAAAATTTTAACGTATTCCAGCGAACTCAAACTTAAAAATGAAACGCCAGAAATGTGTTGCGACAGAGGAAAAGTCAAACTGCCAGAATTACATTGACTACCTGAACCACTCTCATCGTTTTTTTCAGGCGTAACACATTATTCAAAACATTTTTTGACTGGAAAATAAAAAAGTGAAGACGAACTGTCGACACGTATTCCAATGATTCCTAAGGATATGCTATTCGAATTCAAACGTTTGCAGTTTCCGGTGCGACTATCAACTATCAATGCGACGCAATGACTATCAACAAAGCACAGGGACAAATGGGCAGCTCTATGTGGCCTGCTCGCGCGTTGGATAATTACTCGTAGATTAAAAGGTATACCCTACCCTATGATTCGTTGAAAAGTAAGTAACAGGTAGAAGGAATCGTTTCCGACCCTATAAAGTATATATATTCCTGAACAGGATCAATAGCGAAGTCGATTGAGCCATGTCCGTCTGTCCATCTGTCCATCTGTCCGTATGAACGATGAGATCTCAGGAACAATAAAAGAATAAACAAGAACAATAAAAGAAATAAAGTTGAGATTAACCATGAAGATTCTTGAAGTCCCTACGCAGCGCAAGTTTTTTACAGTATCCGGCTACGCCCACTCTAACGCCCACAAACCACGGAAAACTGTGGCGTCTATAATATTATTATGAATGCTTTAAATTGACCTTGTATAATTTATTTCTGTTAATATCTATCGATTTACTAAAGATTTTTAAATCGGAACATTATTTCGCTATTTATAGAAATTTAGGTTATAAGCCCTCACATGGGCAGTGACGTCACTATCAATTATTATTATTATTATTATTATTATCAACATGCTTCCTCTAGCAATAGGTGGTGCCTTGTGAATTTTCAATAACAAAATTAATATTTAAAAATTTTGTAAAACAGTAACGGGTATCTTATAGTCGCAGCACTCGGCTATAGCGCTTCCTCTTCTTTTTATTTATTGATTTATTCGTTCACGCACCTGATGGAAAAACAATAAACATTGCATATCTCAAAGCACTTCAATAAATGTTAAATAGAAAGCAAAGTGAACATTTTTTTATTTTGCCGCCGCATGGAACATAAACCTTAGAAGACTATGTCAAGCTTGAGAAGCGGAGCGAAACCAGGCGGGCTCGGTTAATTATATTTCTAAGCTCAAACTATTTACATTTACATATTAATACTCTAGAATTTGGACACTCCTTGTAACAGCGAAAGAATATTAATAAGAAAGGCGAATTTGTAGTCTGCACAAATAGTATGTCCTCTCTTCTGGCGATATAAAACCGTTAACATCGCGATCCAACCATACGGGATATACAAAGGACAGAAACCTGTATTGCAAAAATATGACACTCATTTTGATCCCTAGCTATCACGGCATAAGGGAAAAGAAGACGCGGATCTGTCAGCGCACAACACGGGGTCTCACAAAAGTTCCTCATTACTCATATCAACTACAAAGACATTCATAATTTATAGATCTCAGCGTTTCAACAAATAGCGGAAATCGTTTTTCGAGCTTGGTGGTCATACGATGGACGTGGCTGGATAATGGAAAAGCCTTAACATTAAATGCCTTTTCAAGATTATACTTGCTTTGTCCCAGCTCTTATATCGTTGCGTACGCTTACTCAAATCAAAATCTTTATTCTGATTTTATGGATTTATTTTCAAAATAAAAACATAAACATGTAGATATACATTTATTTATTTAGCTTTTTATAAAAAATGACATGCGCAATGAAGAAACCACCGACTCTCCACTGTGAGGGCAATCAACCAGAGCCCGGCCAGAATGGCCAACACGCGCATTAAGGAAATCGTCGACTTCGCACTCTGGAGACAATCCCACGGTTCCCGGCCAGAACACTCGCGCAGCGAGTGATCGTCAGCAACCAGATATCAAATGCTGATCCGGCACTTTGGCGACAGCGCTGCGACTAGACGAAGACTTCTAGCTGCAGCCGGATCAGATTTTTAGTTCAGTTTTAATTCATACTCCGCAGCCGTAGCTATGTAATAATCAAATGTTATAAAACCAATTATATTATCCTCTGCCTTAACAGGTTTAGGAGAAATAAATGTGTAGCAACCAAATATTGTAAGCCCAATCACTATCCTCTACCTTAATAGGTTTAGGAAAACAAATAAGTAAAACTTAACTAATTGATTTATTACTTAACGGATCCCTTCATTAACGGGCTCGAGTGAAAGTGAGAAATAAAATAAAGGTCGGTACAAAAATAACCGACGCCCAACGTAACCGACTCACGCGATACGAAGTTTAATGCATTTACAAAAGTAATTGCAATCGGTAATGACAATTAATTAAATAATTAATAAAAAACAAAAGTGCAGTGCATCAAATTGGCAATAAAAATACGTCAAGAAATTTTTTTTTCGAAAAATACAAACAACGGGAACAGCAAAAATTCCCCACCCCTTCAAAAAAGGGAACGAAAAATTCACAAACTTTGTGCAAATAAAAACAAAAACGAAGACAGCGGCAGTGAAGACAGCGACGGCAAAGACAACAGCAGCAAAGACAGCGGCAGCGACAACGGCGGTAACGACGACGGCGGCAGCAACGGCCACAACAACAATCAAAGCATACGAAATGTGAGTAGGCTTTTTGTCTGAATTATCGCCAAATAAATAAAATAAATCCGCGACATTTAACATTCCGACTGCCCATAAACTGCCATGGCCGAGTCAGATTATTGCAGAGTATAGGAAACTTTTAAACACAAAAATACAAACACAGAAAGCTCAGCAAGAACAAGAAACTGAGATTTATTACCAACCATCCACTAGCAGGGGGGCATTTATTCGACCTAGTACCCTTAACACTACAAACCCACAACTGCTAAAAATGCAGACAGAACAGATTGCAAGCATGGAGGTCGCCATAACCAGCGCACTCCAAAAACAACAAGAACTATTCGATAAAAAACTAGCTGCAGCTATAGGGGAGTTAAAATCACTCAAAACAAAAGAGAGCACCCCACAAATTCAAACATATCAGGAAATCGAATTGAAACCTGAGATACAGTGCAACGAACCCCTTGATATGGTCAAGTCGATTCCAGAATTTGATGGTAGCCAGGAAAATTATATATCCTGGAGGCAGACGCCACCGCAGCCTATAAAGTATTTGAGCCATACGACGGTAGTAGTCGAGACTACCAAGGCGTCGGTATTCAAAAAAATAAAGTAAGAGGATCAGCAGCTGCAGTGCTATCCTATACAGTATTTAATGTTCATGCCATACTGGCACGCATAGATTTCACGTACGCGGACAAAAGCGGACAACCGCAGCTGCCATCTTAAATGAGCAGCACAGAAATGACGCTTTACATGCGTTCATATCTGGGTTAAAAAAATCTCTAAAAATAGCCGTTTTTCCGGCACAACCTCGGGACTTGCCACAGCTTTACCATTAGTACAGAAAGCTGAATCAAGCAACGAGAAAAGTGTTTTTGCGGCCACTTTCGCCCGAAACAATGAGGAGAAAACACACAAGCCGAACAACCAGCGACAAGCAGGTTGGAAAAATCCCCAGACCCAGTATGAAAATTCGGGAGCAGTTAAGAAAACTCCTCACTTTATAAGAACCCAAAAAGGGGTTAACAAGCAGAGTGGTTCCTTTAGACAGAGACCTCACACAAACTCGGGAACTTATCAGGGTCAACCAGCACCAGAGCCAATGGAGGTCGACACCTCCTCTAGAAGGCTATTTACTCGGCCCACAGTATGGCAAGGGCAGTCAGGGACTGCCCACTTCATGCCAGAGGAGAAATTTGACAACGAAGATTATGACACCGTTGCACAAGCCTGTGCCACTGAAACAGAAGACATTCTTGATGAAGAAGATTCGTGTAATTTTTTAGATTAAAATCCCTGCTCCCCTACATAACACGTACGGTAGCAGGAAGAGAAATAAAACTACTTTTACACAAAGGCACCTCAAAAAATTACATTACTTCAATCTCTTGGCTGAAAGGCATCGTGGCAGCGGAGAAACCCTTTACAGTGAAGTCAATCCATGGCTTTAGCAAAATAGATAAAAAGTGCTTAGTTTCGGTGTTTAACATAAAAACACCCTTTTTTTCTAAATAACCTTAAAGAATTCGATGGTATTATCGGCCTCGACTTGCTTAAACAAGCGAATGCGAAACTCGATTTTACTGGGAACGTTATTCACACAAACAACGTAGATGAAAAAATCAGATTCACTAGGGCAGAAAACGTCAACTTCATTAAAATTAATGACGAAGATGTCCCCGCGGCAATTAGGGCCACCTTTGATAAAATGATTCTTAATAATCATAAAGCCTTCGCTGACCCAGGCGAAGCACTTCCATTTAACATAAACACTATAATAACAATAAAAACTGATGGGAAGCCGGTGTACTCCAAGTCGTACCCACACCCCATGGGTGTAACCGAATAAGGCCATCCTGATCCCCATATAACAACCCTACGTGGGTTGTAGATAAAAAAGGTAAAGACCAGAATGGGGCAAGAAGAAGCGTTTAGTTATCGACTTCAGAAAATTAAACCAGTAGTAGTAGTAAACAGTAGACAATAGATATCATATCCCTACAATTTCGACAATACTTTCGAATATGGGCGAGTCACAGCATTTCACTACACTCGACCTCAATTCAGGCTTCCACCAGATAGTGCTGCCGGAAAGGGACAGGGAAAAAACAGCCTTCTCCGTAAGCAATGGCAAATACGAATTCTGTAGAATGCCATTTGGACTTAAAAACGCCCCAAGCATCTTCTAAAGGGTCATTGATGACGTTCTTAGAGAGGGAATCTCAAGAATATGTTACATTTACGTAGACGACGTTATCATATTTTCAAAAAAAAAATAATATAATAATATCATATTTCAAAATGAGGACCAGGTCAAGGACGTGGACTGGGTTTTAACCAAACTCTTAGAAGTAGGTATGAGAGTATCCCAAGAGAAATCGAAGTTCTTTAAAAAGAGCGTCAAGTACCTGGGCTTCATAGTGACACAAGGGGGATTCCAAACTTCACCTGAAAAGGTAAAAGCTATTAAGGAATTTCCCCCACCAAAAACACTTTTTGACCTCAGATCTTTTCTGGGGCTAGCAAACTACTACAGGTGCTTCATTAAAAACTTCGCGACCATCGCAAGACCCCTAACAAGCATCCTAAAGGGAGAAAATGGAAAGGTTAGAAAGATTGATATCAACATGTCCAAAGAACAGAAAGAAACGTTCGACAGAGTGAGAGAAATCTTGGCATGGGAAGACGTTTTGCTCTCATATCCAGATTTTAAGAAGCCATTCGACTTAACTACGGACGCATAAGGCTTCGGACTAGGAGCAGTACTATCTCAAGATGGCCGCCCAATTACAATGAATGAAAACTACGCAACCAATGAGCGAGAGCTCCTTGCCATTGTTTGGACACTTAAAAACCTCCGGAATTACTTATACGGAGCAAAAGGGTTGCAGATCTTTATCATTCATCAACCACTTACCTTTGCCGTCTCAGAAAAAAATCCCAATGCAAAGCTGAAGCGTTGGAAAGGAATTATTGACGACCATGGTGCAAAACTGGTTTATAAACCAGGAAAAGAAAATTTCGTGGCAGATGCATTATCTCGCCAAAACATTAATACCCAAGAAGACGGACAACAATCGGACGTAGCCACTATCCATAGCGAAGAGTCCCTAACATACACCATCGAGACAACTGACAACCCGGTAAACTGCTTCCAAAACCAAATAATAATTGAGGACGGAAATAGTTTCTCGGTGGATACATTCATCTTGTTTAAAAGCAGTCAGACACATAATCAAAACCCCCAACCGGGAAAATTTGATGGAAGCATTACAAGATGTTGTAATCGCGGAGGCAGTTAACGCAATACATTGCTCCCTACCAACCTTAGCGTTAATCCAGCACCGACTAGTAGAGTCCTTCCCTAGCACTTCTACTTCAACAGGACCCACCGAGCAGCACAGGAAAATGTAAAACAAATTCTTAGGGACTATTTTTTCCCAAATATGCGTCAGTTAGCAACAGAAATAACATCAAATTGCAGAACCTGTTCCATTGCAAAATACAAACGCCATCCATCAAAACAAATGGTCGCGAACACTTCGATACCTTCATTCGATAGTGAAAGTAGTAATTATATTTTTTTTATTCATCTATATTTGGCTACATTATATAAAATTCACTAATGGCTGCTAGGACGGACGCTACGGTGAAACTGAATGACTATATGAACACGGACAATTCCCCATAGAGGACATTGACATTGGAATCTTTCGGATACCTACGACGTCCAACGAATGTGACGACCTACGAGGACTTTGACCACACACATTCCCAAGCTGGTAGCTACCCGAAAAATCCATCATAGGGCCGCTAGGAGTATAAACTAAATTAGGACAAGCCTTAAAAGTTTTTGCAGGTACACACGACTTTAATGATATGGAGCAAGTAAAATTCAAACAAGAGCAACTAATAAAAACAGAATTAAATATAAAATTCCAAGAACATTTAAATTAACTTTCGAGCGAAATTAATCCAATTAAAAAATTTCAGACAAAAAAAGAAACAAATTTAAAAATTCGAGACAAATAAATAACGAATTAAAAAATTTCGTGGTAAATAAATATTGTAAGACAGCTCCAACATTAGCGAATTTAAAGACAAGCACCCTATTAACATTAGTTTGATGAAGAAATTTAGAAATTTTAGAAGCATATAGCATAAGTGTTTTTCAAAAATGCCGGTAATAATGAAATGTTATAAAACCAATTATATTATCCTCTGCCTTAACAGGTTTAGGAGAAATAAATGTGTAACAACCAAATATTGTAAACCCAATTACTATCCTTTACCTTAATAGGTTTAGGGAAAAAAATAAAAGAAGCTTAACCAATTGATTTATCCTTAACGGATCCCTGCCCCAAAGGGCTCGAGTGAAAGTGAGAAACAATATAAAGGTCAGTACAAAAATAACTTATACATGTATATATATATTTATTTATTTACCTTTTTATAAAAAATGACTAAATTTTTAATGAAAAAACCATGCTTAAAAATTGTTCATAATGTATAGTTATGATCCCATCCATATCTGTGTCGTGCTGCCGGAACGCAGTTGTTAAGGTCTGCAATAGAAATGTTATATTAAATATAAAATATCTATGTATTTGAAAATAACAACAATTCAATGAAAATTAATAAATATATATTGTTCAGCTGGTCTTAATTATACTATATAATTATAATATAAAACTGTTGTTTTCCTGCATCCTCTGCAACCCGTTACTGGGTTATCCAATTTTAAAATTATAATTTTGCTAGCATATATTAGCACCGTTTTAACTAGTGCAACTTATTGCTAATACAATGTAAAACTTGTTTATTAACTGTCGGTGGAGACACTGCAACCGATAGGACTTGAACCAATTTTTCTTTAAATAATGAAAAATATTTTAAGTAAAAATTATTTTTGTACAACTAGATTCGGAATTAAGCAACCTGCTACGCCCACTCTAACGGAAAACTACAATTGCTGAAATCGCAGGACCTATTAAAGCTAAAAAGTTGGGATGAAGTATGGATAACCTTGAGATGCCAGCACTTTGCGATCCCCTTGGCTCAGTAGCTCCCATTATCACCAAAATAAAGATTTTTATTCAGGTCATTTGGAGGTCCTAGGCAAAGATTCTATCCCATTGGAGAGCGAAGAATGGTCTGTGCTGTCATGAGTAACTGCATTCAATGCTTCAGATTAAAGCTCAAACTAGTCGAGCACACTAACGCGACGCTACTAGAGGATCGTGTTCAGCTTATATTGTCATCGCTGGAGTTGACTTTTGTGGGCCCTTCTATTCAAATGCAATCTTTTATAGCAGCGCCGGAAAGATTTATAAGCCTGAGGGGAAATCCGGCAGCACCGGAGAGCACCGTCTTCGAGATAATGGTGCCCCTTGTAACCACTTCGCTTAGAAGTATGGCTCTTTCAACGGGGGAACATGTCGGGAGCAGTCACTTAGTTAAAATTAAAACCACTGTTTGCTATTTGGCCAGCAGTACTGACAACAACAATTTGAATGCTAAAATATCTGTTTTGCATGCAGATAAGTCGAGATCAGCGCACGCGAGTCGCTGATCTCTCGCCCGATATTACATTCGTTCGTTCTCGTTTTTGTTAATTTGATATTTTGTTAATAAAAAACCAAGGAAAAGGTGGATTAAATTATAGCCCCATCAAAACATCAGTAAAACCATTTCGATTTAGCTGATCTAAGTGCGCATTTCATGTTCCGATACCTAGTCTACGAATTTGCAAGGAGTCGAGGATCTTTCAACGCAATCTTTTATAGCAGCGCTGGAAAGCTTAATAAGCCTCAGGGGAAATCCGGAAGAGAGCTATATTTTACATTATTATCACTTATATTTTTATATATCACTTTTATATTTGTATACGACGTGTTTGGCCACAATATTCTCCGCCTGCATACGTCTTCAGAGACGGATCTGTTGGTTCTGATGTACCGTTGCGTCAAGTTGTTGCCTACAACAGTCGGTCACTCGGTTGGCCTCTGTAAAGACGGGTGGCGCTGGAGAGCACCGATCAAGACCATGTGGTGGCCACGATCAGTGACGTTGATGCTGCTGAACTTCTTCTAGTAAGCTGATAGCCGTGGTTCCAGCTATTACTATCACAGTGATTGACAAATTGATACACTTGATTTAGAAGACGTGCATTGATTCTTTGGCTGTCAGCTCTGAACTAATTAACATAACATAGAAGAGAGAAAGCTTAATCGTCGTAAGACTTCGTGTGCCGCCCGTCTTCGTGTTCCTAGCTCAGATTGCCATTGCATTGTTAACTTACATCAAATTTATACGTTTTATATATTACCTCTATATATTTTATATATCACACTTATATTTTTTATCCACTTATCTGTGTTCATCCTAATATTGTTCCCCATTTACGGTGCCCGAGAGCTGAGCCAGCAAAACGCACCGATAAGGGCTGAGCCTTTGTCTTATTCGTTACCACCGATCGTACGAGATTTGTAATATGTGCTGGGTTTACGGTCCACCACGGGCATAAAGCCTTGCATTTGCACTTTAGGTTAGCTTTTAGTTTAGTTCGATTGAATAAAGAGCACTAGCTCGAAAAACGAAGCTCCGGACTTGCCGTCATTATTCATTTGATTGATACATATTGGTTAGTTTAGGGAAATTTTTGCTCTTCGTCTGCACGAAATAATCTGCGACCGACTGTATGTATATGCTATATATGTATCTAGTGCATACAATAACTATTATACTTACATAAAGCACAATACAACATTGTATAAAATCATCAAAAAGAATTGTTCCACGTCCAAAACGGTCAAACTTTCGAAGTAAGACGTCTATTAGGTGATCTGATAACCGGTAACCAAATGATGTAAGTGCTGTCTTCAGCTCAGTTTTGTCTATGTTTCCTGAATTGTCACGATCAAATGATCGAAAGCAATTTTGCCAATCTGTAACATATTTCCACAAAGCTCCGAAGTCTTGGAAGGATACTGTACCCTTACTTTCACGATCAAACATTCCAATCATCAAACGTATGGTTTCAGGATTAAAGGCAGACCATGTACCATTTGACAGGGCCACTTGTAGCTCATCAGCGGAGATGTGACCACTTCTGTCTTTATCCACTCTGAAAGTAATTTGGTATTATAATGCTATTTCCAGCATGCATTTTCTCTAATTACCTTTGAAACACATCCCAAAGAAATTGTTGATTTGGCATACTACCTTGGTTGTAGGTCATTTTTGTCGACTTGTACTTACTGAATAATATCATTCAATTTCAACCCCTTTTCGATTAATATCGGTAATACTTTTAATATTACACCATATTTCCACAACACCAATTTTACTGTTAATCCACACTATCCTTCGGCAGTCCTGAAGCAATACTTGTGTTTTCTTAGGTAAAATCCTCAGCTCATTAAATTCATAGTAAATATTTTATATTTTGTTTTTTTTTAGAGCAAGCCTGCGTAACGATCAGGTATGTTCCCACTAGGGATTTGCAGTACTTTCTAAAAATTATATATTATTATTTTCTTGTTGACATTAAGATTGTTATATTTATCGTAGATGTTTGGGAGGCTAGAATCTTGGCCAAAATCAAAGTATAATCAGAAACAAAGTCAAAGGCAATATCGCTTGCGAATGAGTTTGAAAAAGGCCCTGGCTTATGATGGACCGTTGATGTGTTTCTTAACAATAATATATACTTAACATAATATGTATTATAAGAAATTAATATTTTGCTTATATTATTTTGAATAATTACAGATAATATATTCGGAAATGTCATGGTTAACAAAATTATTGTGTGCTGTATAACTTTTTAGTCTGATTTTGTTGTTTATAAAAGTAATATTATTTATACTGGTTAAGTCGTTGAAAAAATTTAAATAAGAACCTATTAAATTAGTTTTGTTTACTTTATTTGTTCCCGATGCAAAAATAGGACCATCTTGCTGGAAATCAATTTTCTTGTCAATTATCTTTAATTTAAAAATGTTGAAAAAGTTAACGTATAATAAATTTATTAAAATTGATCTTAAATCTTATAAATAGATAAAGAATTTTTCTTAAAATAAGAAGGTAGTTCTTTTTTTTTGTTCTTGCAAAAGGCAACTCAATTAATTATTTTACTAAGTTTTCATCGGTTTTTGAAATGGCTCTATATTTTAAATGTAGGTCACATTCTCCGTTTATTATTAGGTTGTCAAAAAAGTCTTGTGGTATTTTCATTGAATTTTCAATTGTTCATAAAATTGGTTACAATAATGCGATTCAAGTCAAATATGCGCCGTTTTGTTCGATGACGCGTTCCCAACGAGATGCCAACTTCATAATGGCCCTCTCATAGAAGCTCGCTTCCCTATTGGCAAAAACTTCAGACTACCAAGCGTTCGCCATGGACAGAAACAGGTGGTAATCACTTGGTGCGAGATCCGGACTATACGGTGGATCCAAAAGAATCTCCCATTCTAGCTCCCGGAGCTTCTGGCGCGTCACTAAAGATGTGTGTGGCCTGGCGTTGTCCTGGTGGAAGACAATTTGGCCTCTGTTGATAAAAGATGGCCTCTTCTGCATGAGTGCTGTCTTCAAGCGGTCCAGTTGTTGGCAGTACAGGTCTGAATTGATCGTTTGGCCATAGGGGAGCAGCTCATAGTGGATTATTCCCCGCCAATCCCACCAAACACACAGAAGAACCTTGCTGGCCGTCAGTCCAGGCTTGGCCACCGTCTGGGCCGCTTCACCGCTTTTCGACCACGACCGTTTGCGCCTTATGTTATCGTAAGTGACCCAATTTTCATCGCCAGCCACCATACTCTTCAAAAACGGGTCGATTTTGTTGCGATTTAGAAGCGATTTGCGTCAATTCGTGTGGCACCAATACATCGAGCTTCTTAGTGGCTCCAAGCTTCTTCAAATGGTTTATAACGGTTTGATGACTCATGCCCAGCTCTTGACCGATGCTACGTCTGCTACTATGCCGGTCTCTTTTGACCAGTTCAGCGATTTTATCGCAATTTTCGACGACAGGCCTTCCGGAGCGTGGCGCATCTTCGACCACCTCTACACCAGAACGAATACGTTGATACCATCGTTGTGCGGTGGAAATGGAAACTGTATCGGGTCCATAAACTGCACAAATTTTATGGTCGGCTTGAGATGTATTTTTGCCTTTATCGTAGTAGTACTGTAAAAAATGCCGTATTTTCTCATTATTTTGCTCCATGATTGCGTCGCTATAACTCACGAACGACTTAAAAGAAAAGAATAGCGCGTGAAATGAGCTTTCCAAAAAGGTATAGTATGACCTGATGCGACGAATAAGCGCCAACTAGCGAAAATACCGCAAGACTTTTTAGACAACCTAATATAAGATATTTTTTTATTATGAAAAATTGTTGTAGAATAAAAATTAGAACCTTAATATTTACTGTCGGAAGCAGTCATCTAGTTAATACCAGAATTATGGCTTACAATTTGTTCACCATCACTGTTTTCTGAATTATCTCTTGTATCTATAAGACAAGCCGAGATAAGTGCTCGCGAGTCGTCGATTGCTGGCTCGCCCCATTACATTTTGTTCTCTATTGCTATCAACCGCTTACAGAGTTTTCTCACTTTTTTGGAAGAGATTCAATTGGAAAATCAGCCGACACTGCACTATGGATGCTACTGTTCTATGCTACTTTTGTTCTCTTACAACGATGAGTTTGTATTAAACGCCCTTCTTCGGATAGCAGTTCGTCGATGCCTAGGCTGAGGCATTTGTCGATACATCAAACGCCTTCTTGTAATCATGATATCTAAGGATGACATCCTCAGTTGCTAGGATGCTTCGCAGTTTCTCAAAGGCTCCTTGCTGCGCTTCGGTGGAAGTGCACCTGAATATTCCTAGATCTGTGCCTGCTGACTTTCCCTTCTCCCCTTTCAGTAAATCCGAAATGATTCTTATATTGATACTTTTGAGCCGATATTGTCTTGTTTACATCGTATAGGATCTAAGAACCCATTCTACGTATTTTACATGGGCGTTTCTATCCTCTGAAAATGAGATTACATCATCTACATAGATGTCGTTAATTGTTCTTGCTAGCCAGATGCGTCCATATGGAAGTCTTCGAAACTAATACTTCCCTCCGTTTACTAAGAATGATGTTTTCTCCCGGTCGCGTTCTGCGACTTCAGGTTGAACGTAGCGAAGTATTTAGTCTTCCCCAATATCATTGTGATATTTGGCATGGGGTGCGAGTCGGGTACTTTTTTATCTGCGAACCGTATATAATCTCGAATTTCGCCGTTGACAAAATCAGCTGTTCCATAAGGTATAGGTATAATTTGGAATAACTGAGTCCTTCATCAGTCGTCATGATGGTGGCCACCAGAGAACGTCAAGGGCGTCTTTTTTCGGCACCCGAATCACACTCATACATTTCGAGTGTGTGTCGCACTCATGAACAGCAAGAAAAGAGCACACACCCGGAGTGCACAGATCGCTTTGTGCGTTTAGGGTGTTTGCGTTTTTGACACCCGCTCAATTCTAGGCACATGATCCTAATGCACAGACACCCGACACACTCATAGCAAATGAAGCGAGTGTCTGAGACACCCATGTTTTTGGGAAAAGTGAGTCGGGTGTCTTGAAAATGAGTCGAGTGTCTTGAAATGATTCGAGTGTCTTGAAATGAGTCGGGTGTTTCGGGTGTCTTCAGCTGTATTGCATGAGCAGGTCATTGAGGGTTGACCGAATAATTTTACATGAAAGGAAGGAAGGAAATCCCAATAATGGCCCCTTAAAAAAGGCCAAATATTTTAGGATTTTCCATGTCAAGCCATCTACCTGTTATTCGCAGTGCAATTGACTTATGATCTGTATTCTTATACGCATCTGCAAAAAACGGGAATACATTTGCAGGTAGATGGTTTGATAACAACACGGAAAATCCTAAAATATTGATGCAATGTACGTTTTTTTGGGTTTTTTAAGACTTTATCATTAAATACTTGTAATGATTATAAACTCTTATTTTTTAATATTAGTTACTGAAGACGGCAATAATTTGTATTATTAGAAATATACTTTTCTATGATTAAATTATTGGGATTTCCATCCTTCCTTTCATGTAAAATTATTCGGTCAACCCTCAATGACCTGCTCATGCAATACAGCTGAAGACACCCGAAACACCCGACTCATTTCAAGACACTCGAATCATTTCAAGACACTCGACTCATTTTCAAGACACCCGACTCACTTTTCCCAAAAACATGGGTGTCTCAGACACTCGCTTCATTTGCTATGAGTGTGTCGGGTGTCTGTTGAAAAGAGTACTGGGTGCGCAAGTGCACATTCAAAATGAGCTTGTGCAAGGCACACACCCTTATTTTAGGGTGCCGATCACACTCTGAGTGCCGAAAAGGCACACATGATTCGAGTGCACTCATTGTCTGGGTGTACCCTTGCCGTTCTCTGGTGGCCACCTAATACGCATTATAAGAAACTCCGCTCGGGTAGTGTTAAGGCGGATTATGTTAACAAATTTGGTTTTACAGCATTGATAAAAGTAAACAAGAAATTGAATATCAAAACAAAGATTCTGTTGAGCAAGTAAGAATTTTTAATTGCTGTAGAACTTGCGCAGTTCAATTTCCAAATTTATTTCGAGCTCAAATCAAAACCAAATCAACTCCGCAACAAAACCACGTCGAATGCAAGAAGTACAAGTTTAACAACAAAAGCTCTGAGCTACGGTAGTTCTACGAAAGCTCCCAAAAGTACATGGACTACAAAATAACAGTAAAGCTCATGCGAAAGTGGAATAACCAAAACGAAATAGAAACAGCTGATACACCCGTCGCTGCTCATCCGTCTTTACTTTGGCTGCTTGGCCCAACAGGTTCCTTACCAGAACGCAGTCAGAAGGACAATCAACCAATTCCTCAGCAATTCGCAGACCCACCGGAGCTAATACATCAAAAAGCATATAAAGGGCGCTGCACTTTTTAACTTAAGGGCCATTTGACTTCGCTTGCAAAATATATATTTCTTGTTTCTTTATACCTAATTTGTCAAATTAAGCCTTATACCTAGTATTTACCTATACATACTGTTAAGTTTGTTCAATACAATCAGACTTAGTCCTAGAACATTCGAAAACTCTTTCTCATTAATCAACGCAATCATCAGAGGCCGTCACAGTGTCCTCCGATCCTCATCTGGCGATAATCTCTCTGCCATCCACCTTGTTACATGTGCCAGTTGCGGCACCAACCAGCAGATAGTTTATGTGCTGTATGCTTATAGAC